AGAGGGTTCCAGGGCACCCAACCCCAGCGGGACCCATCGATCACCCAATGGGACCCCCAATCATGTCCTTGACCACCCCCATGGTGGGTTCCAGGTCACCCAACCCCAATGGGACCCACTGATCACCCAAAGAGCCCCCAGTCACATCCTTGACACCCCCCAGGGTGGGTTCCAGGTCACCCAACCCCCACAATCCCCCCATCCCTCTCCTTGACCACCCCAGGGCGGGTTCCAGGTCACCCAACCCCAATGGGACCCACTGATCACCCAATGGGACCCCCAATCACGTCCTTGACCCCCCCCAGGGTGGGTTCCAGGTCACCCAACCCCAGTGGGACCCATCGATCACCCAATGGGACCCCCAATCACATCCTTGAGCCCCCCCAGGGTGGGTTCCAGGTCACCCCACCCTCCCACAACCCCCCACCCCCCCGGTGGGTTCTAGACCCCCCCCCGTACCTGCCAGGGGCGCTCCCAGCAGCGACCCCACGCTCTCCACCAGCTGCATGAGGCCGATGGCGTGACCCGCCCGCCGCGCCCCCACCACCTCGGCCACGCCGGCGAACTGCAGCGGGGCCACGGCGCCGGCGCAGCCCCCGTAGGCCGCCGCCAGCGCCACCAGCCCCCCGAAGCTCGTGCCCAGCGGCAGCAGCAGCGCCGCCGCCCCGGCCAGCGCCGCCCAGGCCCAGAGGTGCCGCAGCAAGGCCGCGGCCGGCCGGGCCGCCAGCCAGCCCCCGGCCACCCTGCCGGCGCCGTCCACGGCCGCCATGGCCGCCAGCACGGCGCCGGCGCGCCGGGAGTCGCAGCCCAGCTCGCGGGCGCGGGCGGCGCCGTGGACGAAGGGCACGTAGTAGCCGGCGTCCAGCAGGGCGAAGGCGGCGGCGTAGCGCAGGAAGGGGCCGTGCCGCAACAGCCGGGCCAGCGCCGGGCGGCGCCGGGGGGACGCCGGGGGGTCCGGGGGGTCCGGGGGGGCACGGCGGGGCGGGCGGAGCAGCGCGGCGGCGGCCACCAGGTTGAGGGAGACGGCGGCCAGGAGGAGGAGGGCGCCGCGCCAGCCGTAGGCGTCCAGGGCCAGCGGCATCAGGGGGCCCAAGGCCAGGCCGGACACGGCGGCGCCGGACACCACCAGGCCCGTGGCCAGGGGGCGGTGGCTCGGGAACCAGCGGGAGACGGCGCCGAGGGCCGGCGTGAACACCAGGGCCC